GTAGGGGCCTTCATAGTTAGAAGAGGCTTTTTTGGGCCGTTCCTGTTAAGGGTTCCCTCAAGGGCTCTATAAGGGCTACTATAAGGGTTTAGGGTTTAGGGGCCTTGATAGTTAGAATAGGCTTTTGGGGGTTGTTATGTTATACTTATGACAAGGTGCCCTAAGGAAGTTTAATGAGAATCTAGCGTCTGGGGGTTCGGTGTAGGGTGTGGGGTTTAGGCAAGCTACTAAGAAACTTCATGTCCAGTCCACTTCCGGGCCGCTATTCTGAGATGACCTAAGTCCAGTCTGCATTCGCCGGGGGTCAGCCTTGATGGCCGCAATGGGTGTTTTAGGGCTTAGGATTTAGGCTTTAGGGGACCAAATACCCTAAACCCTGAACAGCCCCATAATTCCTGTAATACCCGAGGAGCCTACAAGCTGCTAGAGCATGAACCGTACCGCTAAATCCCAGCTGGCACGAACGGGAGACGGCCTGCACAGCACTTTCCGCGTTCGAGGCTTTTGTTTCGTCCAGTTGCTGCATAGTTTGGTCCTTCCTGGAGCGGCCCTGGTGCCGGTTTAGGGTTGAGGGTTTTGCTTGTCATAAGCCTTACCCATAGGCCCCATAGTAGTTCCTTTTTGGGACTACCTTATAGAATTCTATATATGAACCCCAAAACGGAAAAACTATGGGGCCACAGGGTACAGTCTTGCAGATTATAATGGGGCTTGCGGGTTGTATTGGGTCTATGCAAGGGAAATCTTACTACTTTGTCTTCATTGCATCCTGAAAGCCGAGGCCCATAAACCCTAAACCCTTAAAGCCAACAGCCCTTTCCCCCCTTTTAAGTACAACAGGAGTGCTAACCGTAAACCCTAAACCCTAAACTCTGAACCCTAAACCCTAAACTCTAAACTCTAAACCTAAGCAGGAAAGGGCTAAAATACAGCCGGTTGAACCTGGAAGCTGCAAGATTTCCAAAGAACCTGCCTCTACTCTAGGGTTTAGGGTTTTGTTTGGGGCCATCTACTATAGGGTTTAGGGTTTTGTTTGGGGCGATCCACCATAGGGTTGAGGGTTTTGTTTGGAGGGTTTGGGCTTTAGGGTGTAGGGTTTTGTTTGGGGTTTTAGGTTTTAGGGTTTAGAGTTTTGTTTGGGGGGTTTAGGTTTTAGGGTTTAGGGTTTTGTTTGGGGGGTTTAGGCTTTAGGGTGCCCTAGTAGCTAGAAATCGGCTTCCTTGAAGGGTTTCCTACAGGCGCCTCAACGAGATGGAGTATGGTTTGGTGGTGGGTTCAGATATCATTACTCTAAACCCCAAACCCTAAACCCTAAACATTACCGAAAAATGAGCATGTTGGTACCTATTCAGGCCGCAAGATTACGATGGGGTTCCAGCTCCAAAGTCGGTTACGGAAGGGCATCTGACCTCAAAGCCCGTTGGCTCAGGACTTTTTCCCCGAGGTCGCGCGCTCTGCACTGCCGACCCGGAAAAAGTCAAGCCTCTTCGACGCGGCTCTTCGCTCATCACCGCAAACACAAGCCAAAGATCAGGGCTCATTTGGGGTCCTTGACATAGCAGTGACACCAGGCAGCAATCTTCAACACAACCCTTCCGACCCTGGTACAACCCTAGTAGGCCCAACCAAAAGCCTGATCAGAGTCCCATGTAGAAGCCTTGTGAAACCAGTTAAATACAGCCGTGATAAGATCCTCATGAGGGGATGACAGTCATCTAAGCTTCCCTAAACCCTAAACCCTAAACCCTAAACCCTAAACCCTAAACCCTAAACCCTAAATGCCCTGGCATTAGGGTTTAGGCTTCAGGCTCAGGCTGTAGCATAGGGCTTGAAGGTTTAAGTTTGGGGTTCATGGTTGAAGACTACGGATTTGAGGGTTTAGGCTCTACTAATACTAATAATAATAACAATAATAATAATAATAATGATAATAATAATAAGAAGAATAATAATAATAATACACCCAACAGGACGTCTCCTCGTCGGGCCATCGTGCACTATTGCATTACCAAACTCACCTACTCCGCACTTCTTGATTTGGGGTCTGGTTTAGGGTTTAGGGTTCAGGGTTCAGGGTTTCGGGTTTGGGGTTTAGGGTCCGGGCGATGGATTTAGGATGTTCTAGGGTGAATGGGTCCCCTTCTGCACCCGGTGCTTGCTGGGCTTTGATTCTGGGTTTGCGTTGTTGTGTAGAGGACTTGATGGGATTCGGTATGCCGCTTAGTTTAATACGGGCTTAGGGTTTGTGGCAAATCGTGCTTAAGGAGGCCTAATGCAATTGAGGCGGTGTAGGCTTTAGGGTCTATGCAGCCTTACTTGGGATTTGAGAATTAAAAAGATTAGGCAGCTAAGGGCGGTAACTTAGGCAGCATTCCTGAACTAATGGCTTGCGAAGTCTTTGGTGAACAGCGCAACGAAGCATCCTCACAACTCATCAAAGTTGTACCTCGAATGACCCAGCTGAAAGGCAATCTCATCTCCAGAATACGACACCAGCCTTGGTTGACTTCTGAACCCCTCCAAAAAGTTAAACTTTAAGTCTCCGTATTGCAGTTATATAGAAACCCAAAAAGTTAAACTTTTAGTCTCCGTATTGTAGTTATATAGAAACCCAAAAAGTTAAAGTCCTAAGAGCCAACCAGAAGAACCCCTAAACCCTAAACCCTAAACCTTCAAGTCCTAAGAGCCAACCAGAAGAACACCAAGCAGCTTGATGGTTTCATGGATGATCTCTCCATCGATGTGTGCCACCTCCGCTTTCTTTTCCTCAAGGTCTGGCCTGTCATGGCCCTAAACCCTAAACCCTAAACCCTAAACCACCCTAAACCCTAAACCCTAAACCGCTTTCTTTTCGTCAAGGTCTGGCCTGTCATGGCACAGAGCTTGCAGATCTTTCAGGGTCATAGGAACATCTCCCACGTCCACGACCCTTCTCTCCTCTTTTTCGCCAGAATGCTTCTCACCGTAGACCACCACCTCTCTTCTTCAACAACCAGGCCCAAAAAAGTTCAAACATTTTAGGGTAGACCTGATATATAAGGCCAAAAACCCTAAACCCTAAAC